TCTTCTTGCGGGTCACCGAATTCCATTGGCCACCGGGACCGTCATACCTCTGGCGGAAAAAGGCTGTGGAATACTTTCTTGCATCGCTGACACCCCGGGATGCCTAGATAAGGATCAAAAGATTAGAATCCCACTATGAATTCAATTACCTATCTTTTTTAAATCTTACAGGGCACATTGTATCTTTCAAAAATTGACTTTCATTGTGCGAATACTGAGCACCCGCGCGCAGCACGAGGTAACGCAAGTGGTCAAAAAGCGCGCGGAAAATTTCGTCAAAATTGATTTGCCATGTTAAGGGACAAAAGTTCGTGAGAAATTATGGGTGAATATCGAATACATGAGGTAGACGCAAAAAAAGTGGGTTCAAGCAGGGGAAAGTTTTGACCAGGAGAAGGGAGGTACAAAACTCGTCTAGTCAGTAAATGGATTTCCCTAGTGTTGAACACTATTTGAACTACGACAGCAATACCCCTTCATCAATGCGTATTTACGAATGAATTTACTTTAATTTTCTATTCTCAATGGAGTTTGTAGAATGTTCTGCAGACTAGGTGAGGCTGTGTCCCTTTTCAGGACATCGAGGATAGCACACACAGTAACGACACTCACATTATCTCATAGCATGAAATAAGGGAAAATCGTGAGTTACAATAATAGTTGTCTCGGGAAATACATGAGGTTGACAACCCATGTCCACGTCTACTCTTCACTCAAGTAACCAGGTGGGGAGATCTAAAAAAATTCTACTTTCGGTTTCGAGTTCGCTCACATTCAGTAGGTTTGTGCAGTATTTTTTATTTTGACAGTAAGTTATGCCCCAAATATTATGTGGAAGTTCACCAATCTGAGTGAAAATAAAAGTCCGGAAGTGAGTTTATCTTGTCTTTAAGGAATCAGATAATTACTTTGTTGTGTAATATTTACAACTGGGCCTACAGTTTGCATGTAGTCCGTTAGCTGTCTCCGTCTATCGTAGATTAATTATCAAAAAAGCAGCATTTTGCAATTCGGGAGAATTTTTTAAAGCCATCCAGTATCTTCTAATTGTTTTCAAATTAAAACCAGATGCCAATTTCATGAGGCCTTAAATTATATTCTATTGAGAACGAATTTATGACCAAGTTTTGCAAGTAGTGCGAAAACCGAATTAGTGATTTCTTAGAATAAAGCTACCTTACGAATAGTGTTGGGCGGTATCAGTGTGCAGCTCGCAAAATACCAACAGAAAATCCTCCGGTGACATTCGATAAGACAGTTAAATGTAGCAACACCCAGCTCTTCTTCGAGAGGCAGAAGTAGAGCTGACGTAGTATCACTGTTAGACCTAGTAGTGCGTGGTTTTGCGGTTTCCACGGGTTCAAAAAAGCAATGGAATATTGCCTTACTTTATCCACGCCGTCAACTTTGATCAGACAAATTATAGCCAATATATGATGAAATTCGGGTGAACCGAAATGCAGTTAGGTTGGCTCTCCGATTGGGGGAAAGTGCTGACTCAAGGCTTCAGCTCTCTACCGGTATGACTAAAGTCGATAAATGTTTGTCACCTAGACACAAGTGTTTCGGTCCACAGGTGTGTTCACGCACGCATAATGTAAAAGCCTTCCCACTCAGTCTTCAGGCAGTTAGGTAGGTGGCTTTCTCGTGTAGGAAAATTATTCAGGTGCACCATTTCTATATTTCTGATTAAACTATGTAACGTAATTTGAAAATACTAGTGGTTTTTTCCGCTTACTGTGGGATTGTTGGTAACTGTGGTATTGTGGCCTCATAGAGTACAGTCAATGCTCATATTATGGTAAATAAGCGGTCGCGTGAACGATATTCACGGGAACAGCGACGTTACTTGTGGGATAATTAGGTTACCCAGAGGAAACAAACACAATCCATTGTCAAAAGATGAGTATGTGAGTGGACTAAAAATACTAATGGCGAGCACAAAAATTTGGACATGTCACTCCATAACTCAACAGATAGTGAATTTCGTTGCATCTAAAAAAGATCTACGCACATTTTGGTTTAGAGTTACCGTGGTCAGAAATACCCCGAGAACAATTCGGATGACGACAGAGTATACTGCAGAAAATTGATGTAAAATCTAATGAATTTACCATGGGGTTCGGAATTGCGTTGATGACTAGCTGACTAGCCTAAATCAGTAGGCGCTCCGGCAGGAAATCATCTCCCGTCTAATTGTATGATGGAACTGGGAGGGTGATTTTTCACCTGATCAGCTTACTTGGACTTCATAAGTAGCTTATGACAATCTACAAATGATTTTGCCCCGACTGCAAACAAAAACAATCTGCAAGATATAAGTTCGAGTGTATCAAAAATGTGGAGTATGAGAAACCTAGTTGCAATGTCAAAATCGTCGTATTATAACACTTCTTTATGGACCATGTAACTGTGGAATTATTTAAAATGCGAGTCAGAATGAAATTCGCCTCCTTGATCTCCTAATTTGATGGGCAACTTAGCATTTATGAGTGCGTCCGCAGGTTTGTTACTCAGAGATTGCCTTTGAAAAAAACACTGAATTCGTTATGAAATCGTCAAGTGGTTCCATCATACAAAATTCAAAGAGATTTTCATTACAGCGCGTAAAACTTTACCATATTTCGGGAACAAAAGAAACGGGAACAAATTAGAAAATGTCATGTTTTTCTTCAAAAGAGCTGGACGACATTTTTAAATGTATGTCACTCGACAACCCATGATCTTTAATATTCCTGAGATACTCAGAGAATAAATAACCAACGGATTCAAATATTCATTCTTGAGACCGCGGGAATTTTATAGAAGACTTTTTAACCACCAGTTATCATCCGCATAAATTGTCTGGTAAATATTGTCCGATCAACAATTTTTTGAGTTATCATCGCTTTCAAAAATTGTAGTGACACAATTACATGTCATCTGAAATTAAAATAGCAGTTTCTGTGACATACATCAAATCGATAGGAAAACGTTCCAGAAAAATTTATCACTTCTGCAGTCAAGGCTGTTTTCCGCTTCAGTGGAATGCTCATTTGCGTTTGATTTCAAATGGGTTACAAATGGGGGTTTTCTTAGTAAAAAAAACGTGACTTTTTTCCATGAGAGATATTTGAATCTCGTTTGTGCATTCCTGTTTGTGCTACAATTACTTTCATTCACCTGGTTCGAAACGAGGGGTTTTTGGTAGTCCGATGAGGTGAACTATGATGAACCGGCCACCTAACACACTTTGGTTCTTCAAAAAGCTACTGATTTAAATGGAGCTAATGTCGGTAGATAGACTGGTCATCGTTGGTATGTTGACGACTGACTTTCAGTCATAGTGGGTAATGCCAGAAGGACTCAGAAAAATTGAATCGTGTGAAACACTGAAGCAGCAAGTTTTCAGCCTTCAGGTGGTCTGTTGTCCTAGCTTGGGGAGGCAGGTGAGTTAACACTGAAAGGAGGTTGAAAACCGTTTGACATCTCATTGAATCCCTCCATAGCAGCCAAAAGTGATGAAATATTTTGGCAATTCTTAGGTCAACGTCATATAAGTACATATGACTCCTCGGCTTGGGTTATGCACTCACTGAAATAGACCTTTTGGCAAGGATGACTAGCCAGAGTAATCTCGCGCTATTCAGATTGTCATTGTAGAATTTGGCAGCGCCCAGATAGCTATTACCAGCCGGGTAAGTAATTACTGATGAAATCCTTACTACCGCCTCAATTGCCCATACGATATTTTACACAAATTGCTATCGGAATTTGCAGCGTTTGATGATGTAGCTTGATTAAGTGGGCTAATCGAGATTGTGTCCAAAGGACCGACCGATTTCGCTGCTTCCTGTAAGCGGCTGTTTCACAAGAGTGCCGCTTGAAGAGGGTTTTCGCGTGAAATGTACATAGTGTATTGTGAAAAATGACCCATTGAAAAGCAGGTGGCGATAAAACCTGTCAAGAACATAGAGTACTTAACAAGTGTAATCTTGAAAACAAGAACTGCTGTATTGCAAATGCTTTGTCCAAAGCGTAATCGAGCGTGCTGGCAGTAAATACGAAAATGTAACTAACTTTATGTCTGGTTTGATGTGTCATGGATCAACTCACAGAAGTGAAAATGTCCGGACATATGGTGCAGATGGGCAGAAATGCCAGAACCGTGCCCAGAACCCAATCAGTAGCCAGAGGACCCCATCGCAAATGCCTAAAATGATCGACACAGAAAACATTTAGTTTTTTTAAATCTGAAATTCATCACCAGGATGGCTGGAATTTTAGACACACGGTCACCCAGTTCAGCCATATCCTTGCTGTTAGCTGCATAGGAAATAGGAACTGACTTAGGACAACGTAATACAGGTGAAGTAGCAAACACCAGACCTAACTAATGATCCTTAAGAAGGGTGAAGCTGATAGTGGGTTCCCAGAGTTTTCCGTGAATTTATGTGAAGTGTAATGTGAAGGAAAGGTCCAGTTCGAGTTCGTGGAGAATGAAAAATGAAAACGAAAAGGAGGCTAATCTGAGTGACCCTTGGAAAAAACAAATAATTGAACAATATGGATTACGTAAAATAAGATGATTACAGTAACTCGCATTTTTTTAGAAGCATACGATGCTTCCCGACGTATTAGTCTGAGAAAAATTAATCTTGTTTAGAATAAAGACTCATCTGGGGCTCATCTGGAGGCTGACGTCTCATCCAAACAGTACATCTTACACAGTCATTATTTTTCTCTGGTTTGTAGGGTTGTTTTGAGAGACTGAAGAACAAAACGTGAATAATTATTCCATATACTGATCCAGTCTTCCAAATAACACAGACATGTATTTCGAAGTCGACAGTGAGCCGAAATGAAATATTTGTGAGAATTATTAGGGTTTGTTTAGCAGGTGTCAGCATGGGCTGTGTTGATTGGTTCACTTTGCTTATCGACCAGTTTTAACCAAGGTCATCTTCGACCCCATGATCAATAGGTAAGGCGCATCAGCTGCATGCGGTTGGAACAAATGCATGCCACAGCAAGAGCAGTCGGAACATGTCTCCACCGAGTCCGAACAAATAGCAACATGCATAAAACGCATACTGGATTCGATCCGGTGCATAAAACCCCAACTAGTGTGCTTTTATAGATCCATCAATCTAGAAGCTTTGGGCCTGCAAATCAAACAACTGTGCAGCTTATTGCGTTCGGACTCCAACTCCCGCGCAGTGAAGCAAGAGAAAACCGATCACAGCCCTCCACCTGGACAGGATTATCTATTAGGTGTTTGCCGCACCAAACCCCCAATAAAAAAGCCTACAGTTTACAAAATCATACATTCAACGCGTTACGATAGCGGAAAAGCGCACAAAACTTACGGCAGAGCAAAACTCAACATGGGCGACAACATTACACAAGAGAATATCCAGGGTGTGGTAAATTATGCAACCGCGATCAGGGTTGACATCACACATGCCACCAAAATGTTGTGCGTTTTAGAAGATCTCATTAGGATGCTTGACCACAAATATTGCAAGCGTGGAAAACCGGATATCAAGGTGGCGAGTCAAAAGGATGTCCAGGTTAGTAGCAATTCAGGTGAAATTAGCCAAGTGCGCCGGACATTCGGAAGTTTGAGTGAATGTGTGTCCCGTATCAACTCCAGACGTCACATGGACCGTATTTTAATCCATCTCAGACGTCGGAGTACTGCAAATTCACTCATTTACTTGATCGATCAGGAACGTCATAAGAAATCACCTTGGCGATTGTAAAAAGCTATAAATACAGATGTAATCAGTCCATCCGTCTTCTTGTGTGCGTAGCAGGGCCAGTTGTGATAACTGGGCCATAGAACATTCACTGTGGATGGAATTCCAGCTACCTGAACGAAGGCAGCCTAAGCGGAGCGCAGACACTGGAATACATAGAATATCTGGGTAGGTCTCAACCTACTTAAAATACGACTTATGTTAAACTTAGCAACCACATTTACGGAAATTTTTTGCTGAAGTTAATGTAATTGAATAAAATTCTGCCTGAATGGCAGATAAGCACAGTGTAATTGACATAAGAGAAAGGTATGTACCGGTCCATTTAAGCGCCAAACTCTTCTTTCACACCATCTGGTCAGTTCAGTTCAATTTATCAGCTATAAACCGTATGCCGTAGGCACATTGATTCTAGCTGCTACAGTTTCGATCACCGGAAAACGGAGAAGCGGAACATGCAACCAAGCCTTATAGGCGAAGGCATGTTCAGTTTGTTCGGAAATTGGGTAGCCACGTAGATGCGTGAGAGTTACTGACTGCGTGTTTGGGCCGTTTCCATCAATGTCGTTAACCAACAGTGATTTGAGTCCCGAGGCCCCCATCCAAGGAGGCGGCAGTTGCCCACCCGACTAAGTTTACTAGTTATGGCTTTTGTACTTCATACACTGTCATACATTGTTCACTCAGTTTTCACTCAGCACAGGGCTGGGAGAAAAGAGCTGTGTGAGGTTGACGGTATTCTGGCATGCGGCATACATGTCCCAACTAGCGCAACCTATGAGTCGTGAGTACGAGGCGTGAGGTGGGGGAGTTCCTTCTTCCTAAGACCATCTGGCGTATCTCAGCATTACTAATCTGATGTTCCTACCGGACCTGACCAATGCTTTGGAGACACCAATGATCAAACACTGACACCTTCCTATGTCCCCTGACCGTAGAGGCCACGTATCTGGTCCATAAAGCAATATGGATCGCACCACCGCAGTGTAAACTCTTCCTTTGACAGACAAGCTCATGTCACGTCGGCGCCACAGATGTCGGAGGTTGGCAAAAGCTGCTCTGGCCTTTCCTATTCGAGAAAAAATCTCACCTCCAGCCAATCAACCGGAACTTATACAGTTGCCCAGGTTAACAAGTTTATCTGTCACCATCTGGTGCACTGAGCAAAGTTTCATAATATGGTTAACTCTGATTATTTGTACTCTGGTGTGCTTGATTTCGTTAGTGATGAGCAACTCTAGTGGAGATACGCATGCCTTCAGAAAATTATAGAAAACGATTCGCAGGATAGAAAATGACAAATCTGTCATTAGGCGGCAATCGGGTAGTGGACATAAAATATACTGAGAATTGATTGGTAAGCGATTTACTCGGGTTAAACTGAATTCCTCCGGATCACAAAACCCCATCAATTTTCCACAAGACTTCGGTTACTGAACTGCTATTTGGCCATAACGCTGGGAAACCTGGGTAATGTGATGCCTCTATGCTGCTCGCTGGATTGCGTAAAACCAAATGTGGCACTGGACCATCCTACATACCATAAACCTCGGCCAGTATAGGTGACCTTTACGTGTGAAGTTAAAGGTCCGAACATCCAAAAATAAAACGATCGAGCGCACTGTGCGTTGTTATCTGTTTGCATTTTTCCCACCTTCCATTAGGGCAATCGCACCTTTTGGCATAAAATTGTGCTAAAACAATGAGGCATGGTTAGCGGGGAAGCGTTATACCATTTGGCCAAAAATAGCTAATTGACAGCCTGGTTAGCTTAGGCTTTGATTAGGTAGTGCCCTTTCCAACCTTCACTCAGTGATGCAATTTCGATAGGCTTCCTGATTAACGGTTTAACCCAGGCAAATTACATGTAACTAGTGAGGTGTTATCCCTCCTGAGTACATCATTTATGGGTTGCTATCACTGAGTGGATACTAGGATTACACTATCAGTGGCTTTTATCAGTATTCAACTGATAGTTGGAAGGTTCCGACTTTAAGCCCCTTTAATAAATCGCTTGCTGCTGAGTTCTTGCATCAGTCGGCTGTTCATTCACTGTCTCGGTTACTTCAGGATTTCAAGATCACTTGTTTTCAGATTCTCTCATCATGTGTACATCAACATCTTGGAATGCGGAATTCTACAGGTACACATATTCTGGTATATTATTTAAACATCAGTGTCTCTGTGGTCATCCGCAGTCCAAAAGATGGAGGACCGACTTCATGCTGATTTCGTATGAGGCTGATTAGCTCTACACTCGGGATTCAAAATGGACGAAATTGGATTGAATCGACACTATCTCCTTGAAATTATATACATTTACAGTCATCATAGAAACTACTCAGTGCAAGGCTGGGCAAATAGCTGTGTGAGACAGACAGTATTTCGACATGCCGAGTACATGTTCTAAACAGTGCAACCTATGAAGCGTGCGTATTTCATCTATTATGGAGCAGTTCCTTCTTCCTCTGACGGTCTGGGGTACCTCAACATTACTAATCCGATGTTCCTATGAGACCCGACCAATGATCAAACACTGACAACTTCCTGTTGGTAGTGTGAGGAGATTTGGGGTTTTTGTGGGATTTCGTCCTGTGAGTGAAGCTTCTCGGTTTTTCAGCATAGATTGGCTTCACTCACAGGACGAAATCCCACAAAAATCCCAAATCTCCTCACGCTATCAACGAACTACTCGGTACTCAGTCTGATAATGGACATATTAACGCATACGGGAGAGTGACAAAGCAAAGGAAGTTTACTGACTGGCTTTTATTGACATGGCTTTAAGCAGATTTGAGCGTCATCCAAGAGCATAATATATATAACGCGATGCTAATCGTTGTTCAGGTTTTTCTAACGCCACACAATAAACTGCAGTTCGTGAGTGAACAAATTCGGAAATCACTCTAGTCTGTTTGATGGGAAGCTGCGGATAGAATAATGTGCTGAAGCGGCTCACTTATATACCTAAAATTGACCTTTCATCTCAGGAAGTTTCCCCACCGCTGCGTGTGCATTTTGCATACTCACCTGTGGTATCAGCCTGGTTCGTACTCACTTGACGAAACTGCACCTAACCTGGCAATGACACGATATCCTTCACAGACTGCACTACGCTTGTAAATGGATTGTCTTCCTCGCATAACTACCTTCGCCAAGGCTTATGCTGATCTGAAACGACCAACAGGTGAGCAGTTCATGATTTGGCAGAGAAGTAATCCCAGTCAGGTTGATTACTTTTGCCTCTTAGGATAAGGACACAGGGGCTCGTCTCATTATTGGTTGCTAAAACTGATAGACATGGTTTAGTTGCACACGCAAGGTAACAAATGCATTACCTACAATTGGCAGGTGTGGATTTACAGCCTCGTTCGGTGGCTAGAGAGACACAACATCAACTGATTCACTGTATCATTACCTCAAATAGCTGACTATTCCTCCCTCTGTCCCGGTTTCAACACTGTAGGACCTGGAACCACACCTTATAGCTGACCAAGTCAAATGATTTGGCTACGTTGAAGTTTTCAGCTCCAAAGGACACTAAAACTCTTGACTGGTGAAACTGACATCTTCGTTCCAAATGATCGACGAATAAATGTGTCACGGGCTGAGTGAGGTCCGATGGTACCTGAATTCGATGCACAAACCTGGCGGTTTGCCAGGCTGAAAGTAGTACAAGCACAGCTCTACTGCAATTCGTTGTTTTTTTCTCGTCGTGTCCAGTGAATGAATTTCTCCATCCTTAGCTAAAACCTGCAATCTTGTTCCAACCAAACGTGGGATTTGTCAGTGGCATTGCATTCAACCACTGGGGGAAAAGTCAATAAGTTTTCAGAGCAACTACAAGAAATGGACTGGTATTAATGTATCATTTCTAGCTGCGCTGAGATTTCGCAAAGTTTTCGTTGCATGTTCCATATGACCGGCTGTCAAGTGAACAACTGCCGACACCTGACATTTCTTCTCCTCCTGTCTTCCATGTTCACCTTTTCCTTGTAGTCCTGCTGACACCGGTTGGTCGAAACTGCTGATATTTCCACATGTGCCAAAATGTTTCATACGTTGCTGTTTTCCGTCCAGACTGTTTTGCTCAACCACATCAGACAGGCTGTTGTATAAGTAGATCTCGAAAATGTTATGTATTTTGTAGGGTGTGCCTCAGTTTCTGATTTTTCCCAATGGGGTATCGTGAATTAGCCGATCTAGGAAGCAGTTGAAATAAGAAAGTATTCCTCTGTTTTGGCTACTACAACACGCGAAAGGCTGTCGTCGACATGTGTCAGCGTAGACTTTCGAAAGTTCAGTTTCACATCACTGTCGTTTTGTACAGTCGTCCTCCTGTCCTGGCTCAATTATTCGTGTGAATCTACACGGGGGGGGGAAGCACTGGACTCGAGTTTCGCTCGTGTTAGAGTTCATCAGTAGTGCGTATCCAATGGCTGTGCCGGGGTTTGAACTCCGGACACCTGATATGTGAGGAGAACGTGTTACCAATATTCCACCAGCGAACGTTGGACGCATGTGAATGTGATGTGGAACTGAACAATACACCTCCCGCAAAACCACCAAACGCAACAACTTTCGGAAGACTTACTCAGATACAAGCAAAGCGTTATCCATCTTTCCGTTCTTTATTGTGTCTGATGAATAGTGTGCACTCTTTATGGCGGCGGCAGTTTGTTTTTTAAAGAAATACGAGTTAAGTCTCAGCGTCCATCACACTGAACAAAACGTGAACCAAAATTGCCAGTAACTGGTTTGTTAGCCTTAACAGTAAGATGGCAGTTCTATGTGACTAAGCAAAACCAAATAAATTTCATGTACGTTAGCTAGTCAAAGACATGGTAACGTAAAAATCAGGCAGGTGGCCAACCCTTGATTTGGCATAGGAGTATGAGTGAGATCACGAAACGCTTGGGTGCTGTCGGTGCTACTCGCCTTCCAGGATGGGGACCGCGTGATCCTCACTGTGCCTGGTT